GTAGAGCCCCTTCTAAACATCTAGCATCTGCATTGCGGTAAAGCCAACATTTAAATTGCACTGAGGAAATATCAAAAGTCATTTTTTGCAATAACTATGAATGCCCTGTACCCACTCATGTTCATTCAATGAGAGAAACAGCCTGTAGGACCCCCGTTGCCCCTTCCAAGACAATTTAAAGACCAGCTCATTGGGAGTAACAATACATAATCAGAAAATTGATTAACACTGGACTTTCTTGTTTGTGCTTACTATTTTTTGTTTGATTGGGTTTATTTTTATTTATTTATTTAATTTATTTTTTTAGTGGTCATCAAGACAGACCAGGGCTCTTGGGACTGGTAAACTGATGGATATAAATCATTAGAAAGAGCTGGGATGTGTCGTGTTCACAGAAAAATCTCTATAATTCTTCTTTCTTTTTAAAATTGATTATGCATATTCATTAGGTACAAAGCTGACTGTCACCACTAAGCAAGTCATGCAAGTCAGGTCTGTGTTGAAACCAATGGATATGCAGCTTAGTCGAGTATGACAGGGTCTCCCTAGCACACAGCCGAGGAACCAGTTTGTAGAGTTTTTGTGAGCGATAGTGCCTGAAGACAGCTGTCTGTAGGGTCCTGTCCTCTTTCAAGTGATCTGCTCATTAGGAAGCTTAGGAAGGGAGATGTTTGATAGCACAGGGGCAGGGTTGAGGAGATACCCTCATCTCTGTCTTGCAGAGGAGGATTTCACCCAGCCTGCTGGGATCATTTATGGTATCATAAAGATCTTGGAAAAGACTTTAGTGAATACTAAAATCTTTTTAGATCAATAGACATTTTATCAGAAGAAGTTTTTGGTTTGCATTTTCTACTTTTAAATGTTTCTAAAGTTTTAATGTTTAATATTTTTTATCTTTCCCAAATAATAATCTTTGTACTTTAATAATTTGAATCAGTGCTTTTCATTTCTTAAAACTGTTTACAAATTATTTTCAGAAGTACTAAATATCAAGTCCTTAAAAGCAAATAAGCAAAAAGCCTTGCTGGTGATTCAGAAGCACATGCTTGTAGAAAACATTGATTTTATTGAAAGTAAATTAAGTTAAAACAAAGGTACTTTTTTTTTTGATTGGTCAAATTGACCAGGATTAAAAAAGAAAATCAACTATTAATCAGGAAGGAAGTTTCAATTATTATCATGTTACTAGAGCACAATTTGGCAGCACAAGGTGAAAAGCATTAATACCTTCTATGCCAGGAATTCTATTTTTAGAAAAACTTAGAAATGTTGATAAAGCTTTATGGACGAGGATGTTCAGGCAATATTATTTATAAAAATAAAAAGTTAAAACTTGAAATGTGGGGAAAGGGGACAATCAAAGGGTACAAAGTTTCAGTTAGACAGGAAGAATAT